AAAAGGGAGGACGAGGGGGAAAGAAGGGGGGAGGGAGTTAAGACGAATGCAAATGGCCGCGTGGCGTATAGGCTAGGTCGGGCGTAAGAGGCGGAGAGGCGGAGAGATCTTGCCCTTTTAGTTAACAGATGCCGCGAGATACCGACTATCTCTCGTCTTTCTTCAATGTCGGCATCACGGTGAAAACGGACGGGACGATCGGGAGGAAGAGGAGGAAAGTATCGGTATCCATCCTCGAGTCAAGACCAAGAGCGTGACTCGAGCTGTGTTTAATGGCTCTCTGATGGAAAAGCTGATCGAGAGGGCCAATCCGGTTTCGTCATCGCCGATCGTATTATCATCCGCTAAAATATTTGCCACGAGTGCGAATTATCGCGAACCGAGCCGAGTAACATCCTCTAGAGGACTAAATTAAGGAGCGATCTCCTTTTCTTTTTCGAGCGAGCGAGAGAAAAACCAGCTCCGTTCGATTCCGCACGGATCGTGGAACGATCGTCAAATTGTGACCTTTCTTGGAGAACGTGTTTGCCCCTAAAGTGAACGGCAGAGAGAGAGACGGTTGGCAGACTTTAGTATCATCGTGCACGCGTTTCTCAAGTTGCATTCATGTGTATGCACGTGTGCACGGAAGGCTCGTGTGGCCCCTGAATCGATGAAAGGGAACGAGGAACCGGTTACAGGTCGATCGCACGTCGGATTCTAAGCCGTGCCGGTTTCGAGTGTCTCTGGTAGTTACGTGATATAGAAAGAGTGAATACCGACTCCGAAAATGTTAATCGCAACAATGGCCTCTAAAGACCAAAGGATCTCAAAGGATCGAGATAGGTTGGAGTTACGACACGGAACGTTTTATTCAAAATTTTATCCAATCGTTTCAGGTTCAGAGATATTTGATAAAAGTATCGTAAGAATCTTGCGTTTAAAAATATGAGTCGTCGTGAATAATGATTTTTATCTCGATTCGAATAATATATTTCTGATCCAAGATCTGGTTAATAATTTATTAAAGGAGAATTAAAAGAATTAAATTTTTGTAATCTGCCAATCGCGAGTTGGACTCGTGAAAATGAACGTGTTACTTGTAACGGCGCACGGGCGACGCGTGGTTTTGTGTGAAAGCACGTTAAGTCCGGGGCGAATCGTTTCCTAAGGAGAGAGAGAAGAGAAAGCCTGAGAACATAAGAACGGCGAACGTCTGGAGAATTGCCGCCATGCCGCATTCAGAATATCTCAACGCAAAGTAACAGACTCGAGGCGAGGTCCTCGCTCTGCTCTCGGAAGCGACTGCCAACCTGACTCAATCGGAGAACATTCCAGAACGTAATCCCGTGATATCAAAATTTTTTCCCCCTTTCTTTATCCAACAGACGAAAGGAATATCAAAATTTATGAGAGGCATTTTTAAAAATTAAATTTTCTTTACGATTGAGAGAATTAACAATGATCATTATCGGTCGATCCATCGTTAAAATTAAATTTATGAAATATTTTAAATCGATGTTATTGTATAATTTGAGAAATGGAGAAAAAATACTTTGAATATCTTATATTCAAAATAAATTGAGAAAAATAATATTGATATTTCTTTTGTAAATATTAAGAATCAAGAATAGAATTAAAATGAAATTTGTTATGCAATAAGATTGGAAAACAATCTGCAATCAGAGTTTGCATTCGTCTGCGTGTCGCTACTATTCGGTTTTACCAACTTTCTTTGGTAGATTATTCTATACCGCACGTTCTTCCCGCCTAAGTACTCATTGGCCCGAGCCGGTGTTACGTCACTGCCTACAGAGATTTATGCGTTGTAGAAAAGTGAAAATAAAAATTCATGATCATAAACGATCGAAAGATTGTAAACTATTCTGCATCTTGCATTGTCCAAAATAGAGATAAAATTACACTGCACGTAATTCTCATTTTATGTAATTTTATTCTATTTCGAATATATAAATCACTCATTTCATTGCATTTTTAAGACGAGTTACATCGACTTTAAGTGATAAAATCGTATATCGCAAGATGCAATATCGATTTTTTCCAACTCGAGAGGAAGAGTGGAATTCTAATTACATATTCTTTAATCGTGTAACTCGTGACCTTTGATGAATAAAAATGATTGCACAATAATTAATTCAAAGTGTAAAACCATTTGATCAAATCATGATCGATGAAAAAAAATGTATTTTTTTTTAAAAAAATATATATCCTCTGAATCAAAATTTATAGATCATTAGCGAAAATCTAATTAGCGATATAAAATAGGAGAATAATAAAAAAAAATATTTTGAAAATTTTTGCGTATAAGGAAAAAGTTTCGGTATTATTCGTGAAAAAAAGATGAAAAGAAACGGGGACGCGAAACGTTGGTTCGGATGTTTATGTGCACACGAGGGAAGGAAGACTCGTTTCCTGGAAAGCGGGGTTGGGCACCTGTCCCTCAGGGATTACCAACTTCAAGGCACACGCTTATCGACGAATATTGAAATTGAGCACCACTGTGACAGTAACATAACCACGTGTATTCGATGAAGCTAACACTCATGCGTCAAGAATATAAAAATCCGATAAAAGCGTTAAAAGAAATTTCCCTATACAGATATCAACAAATAAAGAAATATAATTTAATTTTCATATAGAATAATAATCGTAATCTCCCTTCTAGAAGTATAACCTTATTGTATAATATTCTGATTTGTCTATATACGACGAACGAAAAATAAGAAAAAAAGTTATTAAGAAATATTATACATTTCGCAAAAGAAAGACGCGACGAGCAGGACAAGCATACTGACATGATCAATATTTTTGAGACAGGTAGTAATTGAAAGCACGACAATGTCCGACATCGCTTCGGAATACCAATTATATGAAAGAAATCGTTCGTTAATCTTTCAACGTTTTGACCTCAAACGATTTGTAAGACGCTTAATAGAGTGAACGTTCGAAAAAAACGCCGAATGTCAGTTAACATATAAGCGTCCAACGCGCCGGCGCTCAGCGTTGTTTCGTGACCTGTTGCCTAGCAGCGACATGTGGCGAACAACGACTTCAAACTGACTCCGTAGCGAACGCGACGCAAATTCTTAGAAGAGATGCGTAAATACACTTACCGGATACCGCGGGGAGAGAAACGACGATAAACAGAGGCAGAAGGAGACACGCCATCGATGCGTAATCCAATTTTCGTCGTGGCAACATGATGCCGTGAATTTTATCCACACACATCGGGTAGACACACACTCATCGGGGCTTGGGCGCACACACTAGAGAGAACCAACACTTCGGTGCACTTCAGTATAAAATCCGCGTACCGTCACTTGACCACGCACATCGTCCGAAATCTGTCACCTCCGATACGTCCAGTAAAAGTGTATACACGTTCACGCGAGGCAATACGAGAAAAAAGCATGCGGCAACCGTATACGAACACGACCGCGTCCGAAACACTTCTGGGATCCCTATTGTTCGCTTAACGCGCTGAAAGTAGTTCCCCAGTGCGCGCGCACCTGCCTTCAACGGCTGTATTACTACGCCACCATAGGATGGCTGACGACGTGACCCAATAGGAATATAGCTACAAGGGAATCGAGCCGTAGCCCGCACATATTATATTTTTGGTTATACAAGAATTTTTACCCAGTTAAAAATTATTTTTATATTTATATTTACGAAAATTAATTTTATAACTACGTTACGAATTTTCTTTCTACGTTAAATTACGTATTATAGTATTATAAATATTAAAAAATAATTTCAATAACACGAGTTTTTTAATACTCGTAAATATATCGTATTTCGCCGATAATAAATTTTATCCTACAAACGTTTATCATCATTTCGATTATATATGTAAATTTCAATCAAATAAATTCTCTTTTCTCGTTTTATATTACACTTTTTTCGTTATATTACACTTCGCGCAAGGACAAACAATCTAACGAAGCTAATTTAATTATCTCGATATCAAGGTTAATAATTAAAAGTATACATTTACAAAAGTATATAACGCCGATTAAACCGTTTTTCCTCGTTGTATTTTTTTTTTTTTTTTTTTGTATTTTTCAATTGATTATTTTTCAATCGATTTCACGAATTCGAGCCTCAACTGTGGATCGAATCCCTGATTCTCATCCGGATTGAAATCTAACGCCATCGCGCGTGACGCTTCTCTAGAATTCAAGCGGCAAACGGAACGCAACGAACGTGGTCAGTTATAAAGTGCCAAGACGCCGATGTGTATGAGGCCCCGTCGAGTACTGGCCAAGCATGTCTGATCATTAATTAACCTTCCAGCGGTTGATTGCGTGTAACGCGAAATTCATCGCCAGCGTAGCCGCCGCCAGGCGCGGCTGCCGCCTTAACGAATACAAATGCGGAATTATAATTCGGTGCCCTCTCCTTTAAGCCCATTCAACAGACGAAGCCTTACGAATTGCTTTCCCCTTTTGTGTTCCCAAAGGCACGCGAGATACACTCACGAAACTGTAAATAAACCCTGGTCGTTAGTTTTTATTAATGGAACGATTAACCCTATCATCGAACCGCAAACATCTGCGAACGATGCATGGTCGGGCGAGATGTTGCGCCATCGAGAGCGGCAGCAACAGCGTGTTTTCGCCGAGTGTTCGAAAATCACACTCGGCTCGAACCGACAATTTTTATCAATTAACTTTAAGTTTATTCGTTAATAAAAATTAAAAATTTAATTTCTTCGAAACGGATTCGATATCGATTTAAAGTTATCGCCAGCTAGTTTTACTCCAGCTAGCATCTACTTATGCGTGTCTATTAGGTATTCTTAATTAACCATGACGATAAAAATTAAAACGCATATTTTAAAGGCTTATGAAAATAATATGCATGGTATTTATCATAAATTACACGTTTACGCATGACACCAGGAACTGAGTTCCTCGCTATGCTGTTGCCAGGACAACGCCAAGTACTATTGAGTCGATAAAATAAGCAGATTGCTTTGCAAGTTCTCGCCTGGAATCATGTCCGATCCGTTAGAACCTACCATGGACAATAAATTAAACGATTTGAACAAGAAAATCGTGGAAATCAAGAAAAAGATCCAATTATCAGGTAAATCCATTTCTTCTCTGAAAGATCTGAAAAAGATCGTGGAAAAATTGTGGAAAAAAAATCTAAAATCTTATAATCTTGTTCTCTTGATCTCGTTTAATATTCATATATTTGCCACGATGTTGTTCGCGTAGTGCCGTTCTCTCTAGAAAAAGAAAACAATTCGTTAGCGTTTATTTCCCAAGCCAGTTCCTGATTGCATACGGAGATACATAAGAACACGTTTAACCGGAAAGACTAGAAGTTCAGAAAGAAACGTTCTTGTCACATGCCTTCTTCGCGGAGAGAAAAAACAAAATTTCCATCGGTTTATCGATGTACTTATATCAAAATGTTAATTATAAGGAGAATATTCTACACTAACCGTTTCTATTAAAACGTAAACCGGTATCGTATCGGTTGAAGAATTCGAACATTTATATATGAAATACGGTATCTCCTTATTTTTTTATTTAAAATAATCGATCAATCGGAGAATTATTATAGATGCGTGTTGCATAAATCAAATAAATAATCTCGTTGATTATTATTCTCGTTTATAATTTGAACATTCAACTCTAATTATATTATATTATATTGTATACGATAAAATTAGTTTACAAAATTGCGTTAAAAAATAAAAATTGTATAATTAAAGAATCGAATCATTACTGATCGACTGAAGATTGTTCAAAAGTAACTGTAAATCTAAAATAAATAAGGATTTTTTTATTGATATTGATCGTAGAAGAAACGATACTACGATTATCGTATCCTACATTCCTTGCGTCACTCGAAAGGACAATATGAGCAACCGATGGCAAGTTTCCTTAAACAAAGTCACTTTTGCGGGAAATCGTGACGTCGATTTAAGCAATTTGGGCAATTTAGCTTGCTTAAGATGTACATGCAAAATAATCTTGATCATGACTCGATCCATCGCAATCATCAGTTCAGTCACGACTCGCGTTTCTTCCATCTATCCTTCGGCTATTATTATAGAAACCGTTTTATCTCCTTTTATAGCTTAATTATTTCTCCGTTCTCTTTATCTATATATATATATATATATATATATTTCTATATATATCTATATATCTATCTATATATATATCTATCTATATATATCTATCTATCTATATATATATATTTTAAGAAGAGAGAGAGAGAGAAAAAAATCGATTAGATTCCAGGCGATATAAAACATATTTTTCAACGGAGCAAAATAACGTTTCGACGGGGTAAAAATTCACTAAACACTATTCATACGATATTGACAAGTAAAATTGCATCTCGTTTAAAACAACATTCCTCGGCTATATAAAACACACTAAAAGAAACGCAAGAAATAGGTACAAACAATTTTGCTCATAAGCGTTTCTCGACGAGGAATAGATATTATCGGGCATCGTATACGATACAAGATGTGTTAATAATCAAGCGTGTGCCTTATGTTCACAGAGGGACAAAGGAAAGCGAATTTCGAAGAATACGAAGCTAAGAAGCATGAATATGCGGAGAAAATTACGACTCTCAAGCAAAGCATCAAAGAACTGTACGTGGAGTACGCAAACACGCAGAACGTAATTATTAAATGTGATGATCGAAGTTGAAAATCGCGATTTCGAGATATCGTCCGTCGGCGTGAAAATTTTTTTCTTTAACCCCCCCCCCTCCAACCTTCCCTCTTATTCATTTCAGAATGAGGGAAAATCGAGAGTTCGCACGGGGAGCGAGTCTTCTGCCTATGGGAAAAAACGCAATTTAGATGAGACAATCGCCAGGGTGCAGGAGGACAATGTACGGTTAAGAAAGAGGCACGATCTAATTAAGTATCAGCGCAACGAGGTGAGATACCGATCTTTCTCTCTCTCTCTCTCTCTCTCTCTCTCGAAAAAAAAAAAATTATTTCACGCGAACGTTGCAAATATATTTCTTTCTCTAAGCGGCAACAGAGATTGCGCTCGTTGTTGGACGAGTACAGCCGATTGATGAGCAATAAGATGCGCAAGATATTTAAGAAGAAGATAGAGAATCCGTTGAGAAACGTAAGTTGAAAGAAGTTGAGATAAACATCTCGTAAAGATATCGTATCGTAAGAATATTCTATCTGAATCTTCGTTGAACACATATATATATATATATATACAGAAGATCGTCAAGTTGGAAGTACGTTTGGAGCATGTGAGGATGATGCAAATAAAGGCGAATATAACGCGTATGAGATACACGTCTGTGTGCTCCGATTTAAAGAGAAAATCCGTGTTCTATGCGTCTATTTTGAAAAATTTGGAGGACGAAATAAAGGAACGGGAGAGCGAGACGAAACGTCTTCAGGCAAGGAAGAAAATTTCGATCGTCCTTGAAGAGTAAAAATTCTCCCTTATAGGGAGAAATATTGTACGATACGGTATGTATATAATAGTATGTGTATGCAGGGGGTGAGAGAGGAAGCTATTGCTTTGAAAGATAATATGCAGGGAATGTTGATAAAGGAAGAGATCGAAATTACGAATTGCAGCAAAGAGAGACACGCCGTTCTCGAGGAATACAGGTTTGAAAATATTCGAACAGAATTTCCTTCCTTCTTTTTCTTCCTTTTTTTTTTTTCTCTTAATAAAGCGACTTCTTAAATCTGAGGGAATATTAATAATATAAAGAAAGAAATACGAATTTCAAATGTTCACAAAATATCTTTTCTGGGAAATCAATCTCTAATTTAAATAAAAATTACATCTTTAGAAATTTAAAGAAAATTTTCAAAATTTGAAGGTTTCATTTTTGTAAAACAAAATGATAAATACTTTGGAGAAAAAATAAAAAAGGATAGTTTTTAAAAAAGAAATACATATATGGACATATATAAATAATGAATAAATATTAAGAATTAAATTGAATCGTCTGTCTATGAGATCAGGGAGCGAGTGTTAGAACGAAAGAAGGAACTCGAGCGTTTGGAAAAGATGATATTCCATTCGCGTCCGCGGGACGATTTCGACTCGCGTGGGAAAAGCCACGGAGGAACGGAGGACGCGAGCAAGGACGAAGTGACACGGTTGGAAGAGACGTTCGCCAAACTTCGCTGCGCGACCGGAGCGTCGAGAACCGAGGACGTTCTGAACCGGTTTCTGGGTCAGCGGGCGACCAAGGATAATCTGCGGAAGATGCGGGTGGCCACGGAGGAAGAGAAAACGAAGTTGGAAAAGCAAAGGCAACGGCTCGTGGACGAGATGGAAACGAGAAAATTCTCCGAGACGAGGAACGCGGAACAGTGAGTTTCTTCCTTCAGATGTTTCCTTCCTATGTGCTTTTTTTTTTTTTTCCCTCCCCTCGAGGATAAAAAAAAAATCTTATGTTTGTCTCTCGACGATTCGAGCGTGTCGCAGAAACGCGGAAGAGATGGAAAAACTGAATTGTCAGATAGGCGAGCAACGATCGCGCCAATTAAAGGCAGATACCGAGAAACGAAGAGTGGAGGATCTGCTGCAAGAAATAACTGTGACGTTATGGAATGCGTGCAACAAATTTCGAGTGAGTAATTTTCTCGATTGATTCGTTTTTCGTAAAACGAAGTTTTCCCGTTGTATACATTATATATATATATATATATATGTTCTTCGTATAAATTTGTTTTTAATTACGGATTTTATATTGCATACATTGTTTCTCAGATGATTAAGTAGGAAAAGTTGGAAGGAATAAATGCGAAAGGAATAAATGGATATAATCTTCTGTGGCACGAGTATCGACCATTAACGATTACCTTCCATTGTAACGAAAGATTTTCAATTAACGCGCGTTCGTTCTTTAAACCAAACGTATATCTCGATGGATTAACACTTGGGGAAGATCAAATCTCATTGGAAGGAACCAAAATGTTAAAATGGTCGATGGAAATATCGTGTAAATTCCTAATTAAATTAGTGAAGCCACCTTCGATGATGGTTACAGCAATGGAACCGCTTTTCGAGTTTCCATACCTATTATATTGTCTTTGGAGATTTAACACCCCTGACATGGCGCGTCGTTGACCAATGAACTTTCTTCAACAATTCCTGCCTGTAATTCTCACCTTAAGAACACGCTGTCCTAAGCATTAACACCTTTCAACCTGATCGAAAGTAAACACTTCGGTAGCACGTCGAACCACGAGAAAATCAATTATTGATTCAATCGATCCCTAGAATTTGTACGTGCCGCCCTTACTCGTTAACTTGTCCGGCAATCCTCTGTGTCTTCTCTTTCATTTCTCTATTGAGTGCTGACAAACATTCGAAACAGAGAAAGGAAATTCTAACGCGTAAGGGGGGGAAAAAAAAAAAAAAAAGAAAGAAAGAAATACGAATTTCAAATGTTCACAAAATATCTTTTCTGGGAAATCAATCTCTAATTTAAATAAAAATTACATCTTTAGAAATTTAAAGAAAATTTTCAAAATTTGAAGGTTTCTTTTTTGTAAAACAAAATGATAAATATTTTGGAGAAAAAATAAAAAAGGATAGTTTTTAAAAAAGAAAAAAAAATAATAATTATATAGGTAATTAATAGATATAATTTTTCAGGATATATTCGATACGTTGCCCGAAGAATCAAAGAAAATTCAAAATCCTCTGCAACTTATAGATTTAATAAATGAAAAAGCAACGAGTATTATTGAATCTCTAGGAGGACCGGATAAGTATTTGGAAATATTGGATGAAATATCAGTTGATAAGGTGAATTTTAAAATATATTTTTTATCATTTGTTACATAGAATAATTTGCGAGTAATTGTTAAACGATGAAAAATATGAAAAATATAAAAATATAAAGTGTAATACATATGTACTGAAATTGTTGAAAATATTTGGAAAATTTATGATAAAATTCTTTAATTGAAAATCTTATGTGTTATTTTCTATATTTGTTATTTTATATTTACAAAAATTATTTTATAATCATTTTGATTTTTTATTATTTAGTTGGAAACAATATCGATTACAACTACTACTTCGGTAGAAGGAAAAGCAACACGTACAAATGAAGGACCACTTTTTCCACGATTTCCATCATCAGCAACTCCGGCGACATTGCTTTCCGAAGATGAAGAAGATATACCAACTAGAAATAATCTTAAAAAACAGGCACAACAATTGGTTGATATTAAAAGTCGTCGAAAAGGATTTACATTTAAAAGATGAATTTTCTAATAATAAATTAATCTCATTTTGTACAAATAATTCTTTCCTTTATATATATTAGATCTGAAAAAAACTGTTCAAACTTTATAATGTATTAATATATATTAATATATAATATATATTACTAAACTTTATTTAGAATGAGTAAACATATCAACTGAGCATATAAGCATCCAAGTTTTATTTGCTGATAAAGTAAATTATTGCATTGCTGAGACATCTACTGCATACTTTAGATTAGGAATTGTATACAACTTCGTCTGTGGTCACGCGCCAAAAGCAAGTATAGACAAATAGAACAAATAGTGAACAAAGTGAAAAAAAGATAGAGTTAAAGTAAAAATTGAGGAATCAACGCCATCTCTGGAGTATCGCAAACGAAACAAATATAGATAAAGAAAGAAAATAGTAAAAGAAAGATAGAAATAGTTTGAGAATTGATTATCAGCACCATCTTTTGAGTAACAAAAATATTTCAAGATAGGATAATGTAGAATAAAAAGTAAAAATCATTCAAAGGATGGCGTTAATCCTCAATTTTTATTCCATTTTACTAAAATTCTAAAAACATAAGAAATAAAAATGTATTGATATATAATAAAAATTTATTTTGTATCTTTTCACTTATTCTTTAGAAAAATATATTTGGCATTTAAAAGATTGAACTAAATTGAATTTAATTCTTATCTTATCTATTTATTATTTAAATTTGTTCTCATTTATAACAGTTTCATCTGCGACAGAAGAGATGGCATTGATTTTCTATTTTTTAACTTAACTCTATTTTTCTTCTACTATTTATTTATCTTCTTATCTATATTTTTTTTTATAAAATTTATACATGAAAGTAACTTCAATATTTGACTTTATTATCTTTTTTATCTAATCAAGTTTTGTGATTGAATTAAATATAATTCTTGCATGTATTTAAAAAATTATACTAAACATTTTGATTTTCTGCAATCGGTATTTCAGAACGTGGAACATAAAATTGTATGAGAATATAAGTCTATTCTCTATATCGTTTGTGTATATAATACTATATGCATTGCATGTTAATGTATATGATATAGAAGTAAAAGTTCTTATTTCTAATAAATACAAAAAAATGGGGCAAAAACGTAAGAATCGAAAAGAAGATTTTGAATATGATCCAGCTCCGAAACATCTTCATATCGCTCACATTAAAAATCAAGAGAAACGTTTAATTGTTATTTTAGAAAAAGCTCAATTAGAATCCGTTAAGGTAAGGTTATGTTTTATTCACAACTTCTAAAATAAATTTTCAGTTTTAATTAATTGAAAAGTATATTTTATTATAAATGCTTTATTATAATTTCATTATATATAAATAGTAAAAAGTTTTATTGAAATTTTAAGTTTGTTTAGGTTGGAAATAGTTTTGAATTATTGAATTGTGATGATCACATTAATATATTAAAAAAAAATAATAAAGATCCTGGTACATGTCGACCAGATATTACTCATCAATGTCTACTAATGTTAATGGATAGTCCATTGAATAGAGCTGGACTTTTACAAGTTTATATACATACAGAAAAAAATGTATTAATAGAAATAAATCCACAAACCAGGATACCAAGAACATTTAAACGTTTTGCTGGCCTAATGGGTAAAAATTATACATTGAAAAATTTTATTTTTAATATTTAATTTTTCTTATATTTTACAGTACAATTATTACACAAGTTTAATGTTCGTGCATCTGATGGTCCAATGAAATTGTTAAAAGTAATTAAAAATCCAATTACTGATCATTTACCTGTTGGATGTCGTAAAATTGCGATGTCATTTAATGCAAATAAAATACAAAATTCACGAGAATTAGTTCCTCTTGATGAACCAATTGCTATTGTAGTAGGTGCAATGGCACATGGACAGGTATGTTATATAAATGAATGAATATATATATTCTATTTCATATATCGTATGTCAATTAAAATTACAGGTAAAGCCAGATTATATAGAAGATACTATATCTATAAGTAATTATCCTTTATCTGGTGCTTTAACATGTAGCAAATTATGCACAGCATTCGAAGAAGTATGGAGAATAATATAATATCAAATGGATATGAATATTATATTATTTATGTAATTTAATCTTCAAGATTTTTCATTATTTTTCATATTATATATAATTTTTGTTTTATTATGATTAAAAATAAAAAGAAAAAAAAATTATATAGAAATATGAATAAAAATATTTTATAAATTTTATAAAATTGTGTTATATTGATTAATGATTTTAATTATTATATAGAGTATTATAAATACCATATATAATTAATAATTATATATTCAAGATACAATATAATTCTTTTGTATTTAGATATTCATTCGTTTATGAACAAGAAAAATAAACATCATATAGTGTTGCGCAATTTTCAATGGAAAATCCTAAAGAGAATGACTCATCAATATTGGTTTTTAAACGATTGGTTCATCTAGTATAGTATACAAAAGTACACCAATCGCTATTTAGAACGTGATAGAGTTGATGTTGACCGGAAGGATGCTAACGTGTGCATTGGCATCAGGTCCTAAATATCTAGTTTCTTTTTTGACTTTCGTATTTCATTACGTCATCAAAGCCAAAATGGTCGTTAATCTTAAGCATTTGAGACACTCCTTTATCTTTATATAATTTCTTTTTTGAAGATTGTAATATGTTGTTTTTTTTAATATTGAAAATACTTTTTCTGTGATTTAATATTTCTATTCGAAGTGATACGTGATAGTAATTTAAACTATAACTATAGAAAAGTGACAGTAGTTCATTCAGACGCCATTTTATGGTTTGGTGCCATTGTCGTTTGTGTCAATGCATATAGTAACAAGTTTTTATAGATTCTGATTCAAATATTTATAAATTTTTTATTTAGTGTCTTTACAATTATTTAAAGAGTGATACGTGATAAATTGTATAATTATCCAATTGACTACCGTAGTCAATGTCACGAGTTTCTGGATATTGAAACATTAATATTTATGTTATTTATAGAACTTTATGTTTAAAAAGTATTTATTTAATGTGTTATTCACTATGTTGACAAAATTTAATTGCTTTAAAAGTTAAGATTAGTATTTTAAATTGTATTCGAAATATTATGTTAAGATCAATTTTTCATATCTCGCCATTTTGGATGTGTAACGGAACTTTGTATAAAGACGTACATATTATAAAAAATATTTTTTGAATCATGAAAAATTTATTACATACTAATTATATTTTTAATTATTTCATTATTTATAATATTATTTTAATTATTTAAGACATTGTATCATAAGGAGAACATAGTTATAGATTTTGTGAGTATCCCAAAATGCATTGCAGTAGTTAACAGAATTGTGGAATTGGACCGACTTGCGCGATGCTTGATAAATTTTAACGTTATATTTCAAATAAGAAAATTACTTATTATTTATAATATTAAAATTTATTTTATTTTCTATTATTGTTACTTGTTAACTTTTATATTTATAAATCATTATTTCAGTGATATAAAAATGCATTATGGGTAAACATGGAACGATGGAAATTAACCATTAATTTTTGGATTGATTAATAAAGTGTAATTTTAATTTGAAAATAAAGATGTTGAATTGTTATATATCCCTGAAATCCTAATTCTTGCTATTTTAATAATATATAATAATAATTAATAATTCTAATATATTAATATATATATATATATACATATATATATATATATATAAACATGTATATATATATATATCTATATATATTTTAAATTTCTTCGATTATATTGAAATAAATTTACAATGCAATTTAATGTCATTTTATGATAAAAAAATATAAATTTCAAATATACAAATATACAATTATAAAAAAAATTATTGATAATATATATATATATATATATATTGAAAAGAAATATTTTTTAAATAAAAAGCTAGACTGAAAAATATTTTTAAATTGTTACTAAATATTTTTGAAATTGGCGCGTTATTATTCGTATTAGTTCGGTAAAACTCGGAATGGTAGAATAGTGAGGGGAATGGACAGACAGGTCGTATTCGAGGAACAGCGGAATAGGACCATTCTGTACGTCGCGGAAGAATGCGTAGCCATTGTTGGTGCTGCGATCGTTAGTTTCTAGATCCGAGATCGTCATGGGTACGGAAAGCCATCTAATTGTACGAGACTCCAGGAAAATGTCGGTGGAGCTCGGTACGGGGCACTGATACGATATTAGTGCGAGAGATCGACGTCCGCATTCGTAAGTGTGGAACTAGTTGGTCGGGCCGCGTCCGCGTTCGTCGCGTATGCGAACCGAGCGCTCGCGCTCGCACGAGTGAGAGTGAGTGAGTGATACGGTGGGGCACACTCGGCGGCGGCCATAACACCGACCAACCAAACTAGCAAGCAGGGAGAAAGCGTAGTGCGAGTGTCCAAGACGTAGTGGTAGTGTTTTTCGATAGAATTCCTGTGAAAAGTGGACTTCCATTGATCAGGTAAGTGATTACAAGTAATTTTGAAGTTTCTGGGTCCGTTGATGATAAGTATAGCGCGTGGTGTATGCCGTGGTGATGCGTAAGTGGCGGCTGTAGCGGCGGGCCCTTGAGAGCTTTCTTTCTCGAGCGGCCATACCGCCATGTTGAAACCTACGCCAAATCGAGTGATCGAAAAGGCGGCTCGGGTATTCCGCGCGCGCCAGAATTGTCCGATGTGAGAAACGTTAAGATATCTGCGTCAGTCGAGCGCTCGGCTAGATTCTCACACGGCGGCTTGCTCGTGTTTGTTGTGCGTCGGCTGGGTGCATCGGCTGGGCGCGGGTCTGCTACCCTTCCCCTCGTCATCCTCTCCTACTTGTCCTCCTCCTCTTTCCACTCCCGCATCCATCGCGTTTATTTTTCTCCCATCGTCTCTCGCGGATCTCACCTTTCTTCTTTCTTACTTTAACGACTTTTAACCACCAAGCACCTGTTCGCCCCACGAACTCTTTTTATCTCTGCCCTTGATACTCGGATTTCTACGAGTAGAACGTCTTCGCGGCATGGATTGTTCTGGCAATGCTCGTCTTCACCACGGTAGAAGCTTTTGCTTCCCATGGTTGAAATCTTATGGTCGTTCGCGAGATCGTTTTTTTCTTATGCATTGTCAATTTTGTATTTTAATAGTCAGCTCACTTTCTATACTAGTGTACCAGTTATTTGTGCTACTTTTATCAAACTTTCCATTTTGGCTTATACTGGTTTCGAACAACAGGGTATGCACATTGATTCTTGTATACATTTGTAGATATCACTGTATGTCAGAAGTATTACACTTTGGACATGCTATTCCTGATTGATATTTTCTTTCTTAAAATTGTTGCATTCATATATCTTATTTACATATATCTTCTTGATATTTCTTAACTTCGTTGTATGAAGCTCTTTGCTGTTTTGTCATTTAACTTTACATTTTAAAATTCTCATAAAAAAAGTAAAACTATTAAAAGGTTGTAAATTGTCGAATTATCTATATATTTTTAATAAAATATAGAAGAATAGATTTAAGGGAGACATCTATATTTATTTGCTTTTTGCATCATGTTTATTAGATTATTAAATGTTGTTTACATTAAATTAATAATAGTAATATGTAAAATAGTTTAATGTTATATAAAAGACTAAAAAGACTTTAATTATATATATGTATATATATATATATATATATGTGTATATATGTGTATACGTATATATATATATTTTTTTTTTATAATTAATTTATAATTAAAACATTTAGTTCTTTGTTTATTTTGGTTACAAAGAACATTTTTCACAAGTATCTGGATATTAATAAATACATACTATTTAATTTGATACATGCATTCTGTCTTATTGTTGTTTCATAAATTATATAGTTTTCAGTTACAAAATTTTCATAAACAATGATAAATGATAAACAAGAAAGGTGTAAAAGAGCAATTTGAACGTATTTCAACCTAGTAGCAAATACATATCATTAATCTATGTATAGTAAAATGAAAAAAATATTTATGCAGCATGTATCTTATACATTCAGTTTTGCATGATATGTTAAATAATTTACTGATAAATATATAAAATTTGCAAATATATCAATGTTTAACTTGCTCTAAAGTGATAAAACAATTTGGGGTTGTTACAATACGGGGTCCTGTTGTTATGTTATCCAGATGTTGCTAATGTCGCGAGTCTTGGCTGGAGGTACGGAGTCTCACAGCAGTGTACAGGGCTGACATTCAAAGTACTACCATTTGGTAGGCTTGAGTAGTGTTATGCCTCCACGGCACCAATCTCCCTGGTTGCAGCGCAATCATCTTGGCAAGCAATTAGTGAGCTACCATGCTCAATTCAGAATATATCCTTGCCATCTCAATTGTTGATGAAGCCTCATAGCGTCAAGCATCAACGTAAGGCAGTTACCTGCTGCATAGCATTTATGTACCATATATGTCGGAAAGGTAGGTGAAGCTCATTACCGTGGACTTGATGAGCCTTATATTATAAAATACACCTAGTTATTTCATGAAATGTGAAGTTTGATTGTATCAGTTGGAGTTTGACATCTCTCTCGTATAATGACTCCTGCAATTTCGAGAGAAGGCAATAAAAATGGTTACTGATCTAAGAAAACATTGAAAAGCGTGGTATTTTGTGACTTTATGTTACAATAATAAAATAAAATAGGTTATATACAAGTGAGTTTTAAAAATCAAAATATTGTAAGCCCACAATGTGATCTAAAATTGATGCTGAATATTTTAAATCTTTTTTTTATGTTTATTTATGAAAATTATTTACACATTTGTTTTTTTTTGTTACAGAAACGAAGCCAAGATGCAGCAGGTGGACACTATCTCGCAAAATAATTCGGTAAGTTATAAATTATTATCTCATGTTATCAATTTAAAATGCAGCTTGCTTATTAATCTACTAATGCTATATACAAAAAGCTGTATTCAGTTATATATACTTCCTTTATGTGATCATAATCAACATAATGTGCAATAACAATATATGAAACTATGTTATTTTCTATGATTTTTATCTCTTTTAAAAAGAAATAAAAAATATAATAAATATAATAAAGAAGAAAAAAAATAGATTTTATTTCATTATATTTAATATCAAGTATATTATATCAATGTTTTTTCCATTATCAATATTATTATTATTATATATTTAAGTGTTTCACATTAGAGATTTTATTAATATTCATATAAAATATTTTTAAATCTTGAAATTATAGAAACACAAATAGAAATTACAATTATATTAAAATTTAAATTCAATATGCTTTTTCAACTAGATATTTAATTTTGTAATTAGTAACCATTTTCTTTAATATTTATATCTATTTTCTAATTTATATCTGCTATTTACTTTTAAATATATTATTCAAAAAAAAGCCAAAGTTAAGATTGTATTATTGTGTATGTCCTTATTCCTAGCATTATGTTGAGCATAAATTTTCTTTATGTAATGAAATTGAGCGCTGTTTGATTGAATGGTATGTATGAATTACAGTTAGATGTGGAGGAGCGAGAAAGGCTGTGTAATATACCGAAGGTGAGATTCCTTGTTGACTAGGATATATATGGTTAAAATATGAAATGGCAGCTCCAAACATCAAGAGTAATTTGTATTTTTGCTTCTATAGCTTTTAATTAAATAAATAATAAAAATAAATTATACATAAAAAGTAAGAAAAATTAAGAAATAAAGAATATAAAATTATTAAATAAATTAATTTTTGTACATTTTTGTATATTACTTATGAAGCAAAATACTTTTTACTCAATATATTTAAGTTTTATTTGATATAAAATATTCAATATATGAATTTTTAAAGCTTGCAAGTCATTTCATACAAAATATAATTTAAATATTAATATTTTTATATATTTTATTTATATATTTATTTATATATATATATATATATATATAGCATTTTTTTTATAGCAAAGAAAATTTAATTTTTATTTTAATTTTTTATTTTACTTTATTTTTTGTTTTTTTTTTAATTTTTTGTTTTTTCTTTTTCTTTTTTTTTGTTTTTTTGTTTTTTTGTTTTTTTGTTTTTTTTTTTTTTTTTTTTTTTTTTTTTTTTTTTTTTTTTTTTTCAGTATATCTTAAATGCATGATTGTATGAAATGACTTAGAGTTGCCATTATTTTTCAGTTGGAAATATTTTTGTAACACATATATTTTTATTATATACTCAATTAGACGTCTATTAAAAGAAATTCTAAATTGCTTGCCTGTGGTTATGGAATTTAAATATTTAGCAGCCTAATTCGCTCGTTGCATGAATGGGTTCATCTACTTTTATGATGCATGAATCTTGTTAATGTTCCTAAATTTTATATGTACGAAATTTTAAATAATAAATCGATAAAATTATTTTAATTTATTATATATTAAGTATATTCTAGTAGAATTTTAAGAAAGTATTTCTTTAAAATATTTTGATAATCTTTTTTATTTATAACAATAAATGTTAATCATATATTAATTTTAATAAAATTGAAGCATGAGCTATATAATAACATCATTTCTAATTTCAGTTAATTTACATTAAGTTGATATGAGAAAGTAATCGTAGTTTATATTTGCTTTGCAAAAAACTTTTATTTTTATGGAATTAATGTTATATTTAAAATGTAGTCATAGAACTAACTAAAAACAAATCTACATCAATAAAAAATATATCTATAAATGTAAATTGGAAAATGCAGACAAGTGCACCTGGTAAGACATCGACTACACCAGCAACTCCTGCAAAGGAGCCACCACCACGTGATGAACCACCCGTGGAACCGGTGAATGGTGTAGTCCAACCACCTGTTGTGCCTCCACCTAATCGTCCAGGGCGTGTAACCAATCAACTACAATTTCTTCAAAAAGGTGTACTCAAACCAGTATGGAAGCATCAATTTGCGTGGCCTTTTCAACAACCTGTAGATGCCAAAAAACTCAATTTGCCAGTATGTAGATATTATTTAATATATCTTTTTTATTATATAAATAAAAAATGTAAAATCATAAAAATATTCTAAAAATTATTTTTATATTTATAAATTCAATAGGATTATCACAAAATTATAAAACAACCAATGGATTTGGGTACAATCAAAAAACGGTTAGAAAATACATATTATTGGAGTGGAAAAGAATGTATTCAAGACTTCAATACCATGTTCACCAATTGTTATGTTTACAACAAACCTGGAGAAGATGTTGTGGTTATGGCACAAGCTCTCGAAAAATTGTTTCTTACCAAGGTAATTATTTTTTCAAAATATTTCGATATTGATTGATAATATTTAAAAAATATGTAATTATATATATGTTATATATATAATATTATAAATATTAATCATTAAATAAAATCAGGTTGCACAAATGCCAAAAGAAGAAGTGGAGCTCGAACCTCCTGTTCCAAAGGGACCCAAAGGTAAAAAGGCTGGCAAAGTTGGAGCACCAGTAGGCGGTGTAGCAGGAGCTGCGGGAGGTACAGGTCGAGGTCGACCTTCTTCTGGTGCAGCTGCAGTTACTTCCAGTGTACCAAATAGCCTAACGCCTTCAGCTACTTCAGCTGGGACAACAGGTGTAATTCCCATGCCTCCTCTTGGCACCCAAGCACCTGCATCTGTACCTGGGAGCACGAATACAACTACTATTGCTCCTCCATCAAGTATGGGAGTTAGTCCCATGGCTACGCATAACTCTTTGCCTCAACAAGTGGTCCCTCCAACTAGTGGTTACCATGCACAACCAGCAATGGATCCACAAGCAGCTTCTGCTGTACCTCCTCCTCCACAAGTTCCCACTGCACCTACGGTAATGCCTCCATCCCAACCAGCAAAACTTAAAAAAGGAGTGAAGAGAAAGGCTGATACTACAACTCCTACTGCAAATTCTTTTGAACCTTTATATAAACTGGATCCTAAAAATGCCAAAATACCTACAAGGCGAGAATCTGGCAGGCAAATAAAAAAGGTAAAATATTATATTTTATTTATTTAATGAGTTATTCGTATGCCGAGTTTTCTTGAAAATGTTTGTGTCTTTTTTTATTTTAAAATTTTCATATTGAACGTGCAACCTATTCATAATTTAATCATTTATTTAAACGCAATATTTTTATTTATAAAAAACGATATCTTTTAATTAAATTTCTTTTAATTGTTTCATATATAATAATAAAATTTTAACAAAAAATTACTATCTTAGTTTACATCAATTTTTAATAATTATTTTAATAGGTCAAAATATCATGTATATTCAAGTATTTTAATTCCTTGCATGTTGTAATCATATCATCCATTAATACATTAACAAAGAGATCATAACATGGCTGTTTCAGCCAACGAGGCAAGCGGAAGACGGCTTAGTGCCATTCCATCAGCCTAATATGCCCCTGATGGGGGCAATGGCCCAACAGGTACATTTATTACTACTCCTTCATGCTCCTTCCTTTCATTTGTGTTGTCTCATCATTTCAAGCGAATTAAATATTTTAAAAAAGAAAATAAATTATAGAAATTTATATTTAAATAGTAAAATATTTTGCGTAAATTTTTTTTTTATTTATAATTTTTAAATCATAATATAAATTAAAAATATTTTAATTATTAAAATTTTTTTTTATAATTTATGATGTTTGAAAATGTAATTTAATATTTCAATTTTATGTATAATTACACATATAATTATTTGTATATTATTATTTTACAGCCTCAACACACAACTGGAAAGTCTAAAGAGAAACTTTCAGAAGCTTTGAAGTCTTGTAATGAGATTTTAAAGGAATTATTTTCGAAAAAACATTCGGTAATTAAATATAAATCTTATAACAAATAATACTTAAACAACAAATAATACTTAATAATTATAATTTTTATAATTTTTATCTTAATTATATATAGGGATATGCATGGCCCTTCTATAAGCCAGTTGATGCTGAACTCTTAGGTCTTCACGATTATCATGACATTATAAAAAAACCAATGGATCTTGGTACTGTAAAGGTAGTGATTTTTAAATTAATATTACATTATATGATTTTAAAAAATTATATATTTAATTAATATAATTCTTCTTTTGCAGACAAAAATGGATAATCGTGAATATAAAACAGCACAAGAATTTGCTAGTGATGTGCGACTCATATTTACTAATTGTTATAAATATAATCCTCCAGATCACGATGTTGTAGCAATGGCTAGAAAACTCCAAGATGTGTTTGAAATGAGGTTTGTTTTTTTATAAATATTAAAACTATAATTTTTATTTATTCTTATCATCTCGTTTGATTAAATACAATTTTTAAATTAGGTACGCAAAAATCCCGGATGAACCAATGGGAAGTATAGTAGTGAAAGGTAGCAGTAGTAGTGCCAGTAGTTCCGGATCCGAAAGTTCTTCTGAAAGTGATGATTCAGACGAAGAACGTACTCAAAAATTAGTTGCTTTACAGCAGGAGGTACATTGTAACCTTTTTCTTCTATACTGATATAATTTTTTTATGAATGTAACATAAAGAAAAATAATCTACCTTATAGCTGAAAGCTATGCAAGAACAAATGAGAAAATTAGTAGAAGAAAGTGGTAAAAAGAAGAGTAAAAAGAAGAAACCGGATAAGACAAAATCAAGGCCAATGGGCAATAAGAGTAGTAGTCTTGTTGCCAGTCATACTGGTGCCATGAAAGAACTAATGAAACCAAGTGGTGGAATTCCAAGTGTCTCTGATAGTGTTGGTGCTAGTATAGCCAGTGTTGCAATGGGAGGTGATTTAAAAATGCCAGGTGGTATGGGTGGTGATCTTCATCATCCAGCAATAGCAGTAGGACCTAATAAAACTCATGCAACAGGAAGCATGAGTCATCATTTGCCAACAGCAGCAAATGCTAAGACAAAAGGAGGAAAAGGACGAGGACCTGGGAAAGCTGCAACAACAAATACTACAAATAAAAGGCCAAAAGCAAATAGTAGATCAGCTGGAACTAAAAAGAAGAATGCTAGTAGTCAACCACCACCAATTACGTTTGATTCTGAAGATGAGGATAATGCTAAACCAATGTCTTATGATGAAAAAAGGCAACTTAGTTTGGATATTAATAAATTACCTGGTAATTAATAATAATTAATAATATAAGAAAATTCATATTTTATACACAAATATTTTCTCATAATAGATTTTTTTTTTTTTTTTTTATTATTATAGGAGATAAATTAGGACGAGTTGTGCATATAATACAATCTCGAGAGCCTTCATTGAGGGATTCCAATCCAGATGAAATTGAAATTGATTTTGAAACATTAAAACCATCCACATTGAGGGAATTGGAGAGCTACGTCGCTTCATGTCTTAGAAAAAAGCCACGTAAGCTTTGTTTTAAATTTTATTATTATTTCATAATTAAATTCTTATTCTTTACAAAAATTTTAAAATATATTAGTAATTTGAATAAAAATTAATAGAAATGTAAATTTAACTTAAATTTAATAATAATTTAATAATAAAAAACTTATAGTTAATAGAATCTATAGATATATTTATAGATATTAATATCTTATTAAGGTTTTAAAAATATTTGATTATAATAACATTTAATGCAAATGAAAATAATGTTTCTTAAATATAATGTCTCTATAATTTCTATTTAAATTATTACTATTATTAAAAATATTTATAACGATAAATATTTATTTACATATATTTTTAACATATTCGATATTTTCTTATTTTTTACAGATAAAAAAGTTAGTGGTAAATCTAAAGATGAACAAATGGCAGAGAAAAAACAAGAACTCGAGAAGAGGTTACAAGATGTTACAGGGCAATTAGGCAATGTTAAGAAAACCGCTAAAAAAGGTTGGTATTTTGATGGTAGTATTTTCTTATATTGGATTTTTATTCGTTGTAAATATAAATAATATTATAATTGAATGTGATTATAAATTTATTTTTTAAAATTATTTTCAAATTTGTTTTACAGAAGACAGTAGTAAATCAGTCGATGTAGTTGGGACAGGAGGAGCTAGTGGGCCTTCACGATTATCAGCGTCAAGCAGTAGTAGCAGTGATAGTGATTCCAGCAGTAGTTCACTTTCTTCGAGCTCCAGTGATTCAAGCGACAGTGAAGCAGGTTAGATATAAACCTCATGTAACTGTTGCTATTATTAGACCCTTACTTGGGAACAATAAACTACTTATAAATGAGTAGTTTTCATTGAAAATATATAAACTAATTTTTCTGTGAGATTTGAAATTATAGGATTATTTGCGATTGTTTATTTGGGGAATGAAAATTTTTAGTCCAAATATTTCATAACATTCATTATAGTAATTTATTTGATAGAGCACAGATTTCTATTCACATTTATGCTCAGAGATATTACAAAGACAATATACTTATAAATTTTTAGCAAGCACTTAATATTCCATATTTTTCGTTCCTTTAATATCTTAATTTCTTGTTTTATTATGACAAGATAGTTAAACTGTACTTCTATTGTATATATATATAAACTTGTATATTTCTTCATTTCTAAAATAAGAATATTTGTTTAAATGAGTGAAAAAAATTTATAATTTTAAATGAAATATAAAAATCATAGACGTGAATCTCTTGATTATTTCAAATAAAATTATTCACCATTTCATGTGGGTATTTGCTACATGTTAATAAAAAGTATATTAATTTTTTCTTTTTGTTCATTTTTATAGAGAAAAATGTTATTATTTCTGCATGTTTTTTTTTTTTTTTTTGTGTATAACTTTTTGGTTCCTATAAAATTATTTTATCTTTCATTTTAATATCAATGGTATTTTCTAAATGTATGCAAATATATATAAAAAGAATTTGAGTGCAACATTATATATTTATATAGATATAATATATTAGATATTTTATTTTAAAAGATATGTGATTAAATAAAAGACATAATGTTAGTGCAGTGTTTTTTAATTATTAATCAATTTCATATAAAAAAAGAAAAGAATGTTTAAAAAAAATTACAAATAATAAAATTATTTTTTCACATGAAAAAATGAAAATAGCATTTAATACCCTATGATTTGGTGATAACTAAGAATTTTTTAAAAATGAAATGAACTCTGTGCCTAACTAATTTCGTATTGGCAAATGAAACAATCGAATATGCTGGTGCAACATTATTGATGCAATATGTATAATGATAAAGTTGCAAAATAGATATAAAAAGATTTTTTAAACGGGGGTTTAATTGCACAAATGCATCGCAAATATCTTCTTAAGCTGCTAAATCTTGCTTATTAATTGTATTTATTAGGACGGCGTTATCGTATAGCTTAAGTGCTGCGTTATATTAATGCAAGTACGAATTTCGTGTCAAGTTTCATTATAAATAAATTTAAACATATTTATTATTATTATGAAACTAACAATGAAAACATAATTATAAATTTATTTATATTTATTTACAATTTTTGAAACAAATATATTTTTAAAAAAAATTTTGGATATTAAATTTGAAACTTGACATAATTAAAAATTTTTTATTTAATTTACAAGACAATATGCAATGGTAAAAAAAAGGTGAGCTAGTGGAGTGCAGACTGTGTTTAGAGGATACCATATGCCATGCCAGCTTGTTTCACAAATTATATTATTGATTAAAGATGATTACTTATATTTTCTCTTGCCCTGTCGGTGTTGACAATACATTCTGTTGCTCGAAAGTCAAGTATAGTTTGCTATTCAAGGTCACTGAATTTTTCACTGCAGTCTCGAGTTTAAATATATAAGGATATGTATTTTGATACTTGGATCAGAAATTTGGAATGGTAAGATTGTTCGGTTAGAATTTGAAAAAAATTATATTAAAACATATAAAGAATACAATAATATATAGCAGGGACTGTAGTGTCAAATGTTAGTACCTTGGAGTATACATTGTAGCTTCTCCTGACAATTATATTGCCCTACATAACCCAAGCAACATCATGCAATATATTAACTCTTGCAAATTTAATATTTATTTACATTAATTGATAAGCAGAGCATTACTTGTATCACTGTGTTTTTTAAATCATTAAGTTTGTTTCCTCGCATTGATTCATTCATATCGTATCATTTCTCAGATGATAGTATAATGATATTTAAGAAGCGTCATTATTACATTAAGTGTAAATATGCACTTATTACATGAGTGACGTGAGAACTGTGTTTAGGCTTCTGAACACTATAATTATTTCCACAGTTTAACTGTGCGAACTTAATAAGTCAATATTTAAGAGAAACAAATTAGGCAATATATTATGATACACACGGGAAACAAATGCAGACAATGTGTATTGGTGGCTGGATTTGCAAATTCTAAGGTTACTACAATTCACAGCTTTCGCGTCAAATAATGATTTTAATTAAATACACTCTCGTGTTAATGTCGCCTCCGCAAACAGTATCAGAATTATACATATTTCTTAAGAAATTCTTATCTAATGTTATCTCATATAAAACTGATTCCATTTCTTAAGTAGGTTTATTTCGATAAAGCCAAAGAAGTGGTGCTTCCTTTAAAAAGTCAATTAATAAGATTTATCACCTCATAAATATGCTTTGGTATAATAGTATTATTTAGATAAAATGGTGAGATTAAAATAAAATTTTAATTCTTCCTTTAAATACATCAATTCAAGTAGAAGATAATTTGAAAAAAAAAATAGTAAAGTGTGCGGAGAATATGATATGTGATACAATCAACAATTTCCATTTATTTTTTGTAAGATTAATGACTTTGAGCATACAAGGTTTATGTTAACATATCAGAAAACGGCAAGGGGAGTGTACAAATTATAATAACACAGACAAAAAAGGTAGATATATTGTTTGTATTAAATGGAGGGAACTCTGAAGATAATTATAGAAGAATTAAGAACGAGAGCAGGTAGAAGAAGTGGCACCCTAGCCTCCAAACACATTGTTTGCACTCCGCTAAGCTTTGCTAATCGTCGTTTCATTTTTCTATTTACCACTAGTTCTTCATTGATAGCCATTGTCAGTTTTTCATTTTTAAAGTTACTTGAATTAAAATTTAGTGCAGTTTCGTTTTACAATACAAATCAATATCATTATATTAAACGATTATTTCTATGTAGATTGGTGTGGTTTTACATACCTTGCTAAATACAACAATCCTATTTAAAGATAAATTTTTTCTTTCAATGATAAATTTCCCAAATTTACATAATGTATATTACTGATTCAGAGGATTCATATTGTAAAAATTTCAAATAATATTAATTTTAACCCGTCCTATTAAAAAACATTTTTAGAAAATCTTTTATACGAGTTCGAATGAAGTTAATTTTAGTGATATTTTGTTTTTATATCTCTATGTATAAATGTCTGCTCCATGATAGCGTTTTTTGTTGAAATATCATGTAAATTTAGTTCTTATATATATAGTAAAATATATACATGAAGAGTTATGGACATAACTGATAATATAAGATTTTAAGATGCTTTTTTAGAAGCATTACATGCTTCAAAATGTTGCATAACATTTAAAAAGTGATCAAATTCGCACTAAGTACAATTTAATGTTATCATTAATCGTACAGTCAGCAATGTACTTACTGTTCCAGCAAAAAAAAAAACAAAATAGAGAAATCAATTATTGATTATTATTAATTTCATGAAAAAATATTACAACTGATTGGAAAATTGTTTATGGTTTCTAAAAAAAAATTAAATATTAAATTAAAAAAAAAATGTTGATTAAAAAATGATCTTATGTTTCTGAAAATATTAAAAGTAAATAGAAAAATTCCAAATAATTAGTTAGAATATGAGAAATTAATGGCGTGTGCTGAATTAGATAGAAACTATGCATCTATTACAATACAATCATCATTAGCTTGTAACACGAAATATAGGGCATTTTATAATAATATTGATATCGCCTTCCAAAATTTTTGTAGCATTTATTCAATGAGAGCACGCGTCAAAATTTTTTCGCATCTTTAGCCAGACTGGAACGTCATTCTTCCTTCAAGATCGTTATACGCAAAAGCAGATTTAACGAACTATTACAATTTGAGATGCTCTTTTATTTAAAACTACTAATTATTTTTGTTCTCAACAATTACTTATGCGTTCTATCTGTTTTGTGCGTATTACGAATTGAATAGCAACAATAACACAAGCATACGCGTTTTGTACATAGTAAAAACTAATATATCATAAAATATTAATAATAGTTGTAAGTTAAAAGAAAAAAAATGCGATACACAGGAGACTTTTTTAAATGCATACACAAAGGTAGTAGATGAATGAAAAAGATAAAAAAAACTGGTTCTTCGAATTGTCGTTTAGAGTCGGGGTTGGCTCATTTGGTGGTCCAGTTAAACTATATTATATAAATTAAGATATGCTGGAACTTCTACTTGATGTTTATTGACTCTTCATTTCCTCCTGCAATTTTTTCGTCTATTTTGTACATTTTGCGAGTTATAATTTACTATTGATCATTCCATCGACAAATATGATTTATTTATGAGCATGAATCAGATTGAATAGTATAGAATTGCTATTTGTAACTTATATAATTAATATATCAGACAAACATCGAGCAGAAGTATCTTGCCACCGATCTCAATATTGTGCTAACTACGACTTGAAATTACATTTGAAACTGCTTGTATGAGTGTGATACTTTTGTATCATTCATGTTTAAGTTGAGTCCGTATTGTACCATTTACGTGACTTTTATTTACATTAATTCTATTGCATTACATTAATTATATTATATTACAATATACTATACGAGAATTAAAAAATACAAGGCAGTTTGTTGTTTTTGTAGTCAGCATTTTGTAATAATCATTTTCGTCACTGTCATTATTATTATTGTAATAATTATTATTATTATTTTATTATTATTTTATTATTATTTTATTATTATTTTTATTTTTATTTTTATTATTATTACTACTACACTACTACTATTACTACTACTACTACTACTACTACTACTACTACTACTACTACTACTACTACTACTAC